TCTACTTCTAGATTTTTGATGTTTAATTGGAGATAAGACTGTCACCTGCCTGGACTGGCTTTGAACCTAGATCTTCAGGTTTCAGTTTCCTAAATAGCTAAGATTACAGGCAGGCTTGAACCAGTATTGTCTGGCCTTTGTGTGGCCATCTTTCACTAATCACTTGACTTGTTTTCTGAGTGTTCAATCACTTCCTGGGAGTGCGGTTTCAGGGTAGTGCTTGATTTCCTTATAGGCAAAGAGGTTTAGGGAGCTTGAAGCATGCTTGTTGGGAATATAGAGCCCTAGGAGCCCAAGTTTTACTTTACTGGAGTTGGCTGCAATGGTCTCACTCATCATCTAGTCTGTAACACAAGAGCAGTTTTCATCCTTTTCTTTTCTTTTGTTTGTTTTGTGCTGGTACTGCAGCCTGAACTTAAGAGTTTGGTTTTGTTTGTTCCTATCCATTTTTGCTCAAGGCTGGTGCTCTACCACTTGAGCCACACCTCCACTTCCAACTTTTTGAGGGTTAATTGGAAATAAGAGTTTCATTGACTTTCCTGCCTGAGCTGGCTTTGAACAGGGACCCTCGGATCTCATTCTGCTAAGAAGCTAGGATTACAGGCATGAACCACTCAGTGCCCATCCTAGTTTTCATTCTTTATCAGGGGCCTATACGAGGAGTCCAGGGAACAATTCCATCTTCTATCATTTTTTTTTCTGGAGTCTTTCTTTCATACTGTCAGATATTGAGAAGAAAGGAGAAAACCTGGGAATTATGACACGAATACATTCTGTGTCCACCAGTGAGAAGCAGAGAAGCCCTAACGGAAGCACTAGAGATTAACAGATGGTGTGGAAGCCCAGTGACCTCATCATAAGAATAGCTTACATAAATTCAGTGTCATCATTACTGCGAAGCTCAAAAGAGCTTATCTTGGCTCATGATGAAGCAATAGCTCTCATCTACAGTCACAGACACTTAATAAGCAGTTGGGCAACTTCAGACACAAATCTCTTAGCAGAGTGAGCTGATGTTTTTCTTTCTGACAATATGGTCATGTATTAAGTCTCTCATAATGGAGCTTTGAGTTCTGAGTCAGAGTTCAGCATTTATTAGTATTATTAAGCAAAATGTCCCCCTTTACTGTCATGTGAACAGGCTGAGGCATATTGTCTATTCGTTTTCTTAGCTATCATAGATTATCACTAAACATTTGGGAATACAAAAAATATAGTGTTTAATTTGAAATTATTTGTATTACTTCTGCAGGTTGCTGTAATACCAAAGCCTGTTTGTTGCAAATAGATACCTTTTCTTTGCTGTTGTTGTTGCTTGGTTTTGCCTACAATTTTTAGTTTTACGATACCTTTTTCTTTTTTTGAAAAAAATCTCAGTAACTAGGATAAAGATGGCATGCATCTTGTTATTCTGACATGACATATGTTTCTCATTTCCTACATCTTGGAGTTTTGTGTGAATATACAAAACCCCTGCTTGTCTTTTGGCAAAGAATGGAATTTCTGAGATTGGTGGTAAATTCCAGAATTCAATATTTAAAAATGTTGGACTTGAAGTAGAAAAAAGGATGCTACCCCCAAATAAAGTATTTCTTGAGCATAATAAAGGTTTTACAATAGAAAAGGGAGACCTAATAAAACTCATTCATTTTTTTGCTGTCATTCTTCATGCATTTTCTCATTCACCATTTCGTGTTTTGAAACGTAAGTTGAAAGTTGAAATAAAAGACAGTTAGGTTTACAATAACTAAAGTTTTTGTGTTTGTAACATGGCTAAACTTACGAATTTTCTTTTTCATTTCACTTTTAGTAGAGAACCGTGAGTTGCTGAACATCACAATAAGTGTTTAGAGTTGTAGTAGTTTACTGGAATCATGGACTGAAAGTATTTTCATGGTTGGTAAAATTTAGATCCTTTTGGGATTACTTCACCAAAGAGCTGTTGACTACGTGACAGATTTAATGAGGTTTCACTGGAAATGCACAATCCCAATGGATCATACTAGAGTGATGGACCCACTGTTTAGTAACTTAGAGCTAAGGCCTTGGAATCAAAGGGTTATAAATGTAAATATTCCTCAGGTACTTTATTGTTTCTTGTAAGTGATGAAATCTTGAAGTAGGAGGATTTCAAGACCAGCGTAGAACATATCATAAAAGTCCTCTGGAGATATGAGTGGAGCTCAGCAGTGTGTGGTCAATACTGAAATCATTTTGACCTGGAACATCCCCCAATAGAGAACATAGGTGCTGACTTGCCAAGTCTTCAGTCATTTACAAAAATTTCCCCCACCATTTCCCCCCCATGTAGTCAGCTTCTTTCCCTCGGCTCAGCTTATTGGGCGCCTCACAACTGTCCAACCAATTTGTTGCTTTTCTCTTGAGAGAACAAGAATCTTCTTAGAAAGGCAAGAATCTTCTTGACTTTATATCTCTGAATGTGCCATCCTTTGGTCTTAACATTTGTGCCATTCCATATCACTTGCTTACTTATTTTGTTTTGTTTTCCCCCTACTAAATAAGCAACTGTTATCATTGGTTCTGGGTGGCTCTTCAAAGCCTCTTGACTTCTGCTTTCTCTTTGTTGTGGGACTGGCAAAAATTCATGTTGACTTTTTTTTATTCTTTGGTATTTTGGCTAAGTCATTTAAATTCATTCTTGTGACTATTTTGAGAATGACACCAGTGTTACTTTCCAAGTGAGTTTTTTGCCATGATTAAAAGTATTTAGAACAGGACTGGCACATGGGAGGGTCATATAAAACATTGTACACTACAGCCAATATTTATATTCTTTGTTAGTGGTTAAAGTTGCTCTAAGCTTTCCATCATGCTCACTTCACCTAGAATCATGACTTTCAGGAAAGACTCAGAATTTTAGATTACCAACAAATCAAGACCTAAATCCCTTAGTGCTTTTGCTGATTTACAGTGATTTGATCTCCACATCAGGAATGATGACGATGATGACGACGACAACGACGAAGATGATGATGATGATGATGATGATGATGATTTTGGTGCTGGTATTGAGATTTGAACTCAGGGCATCAAGCTCTTGCTTAGCTTTTTTTGCTCAAGGATAGCATTCTATCACTTGAATCGTGTTTCCACTTCTGGCTTTTTTTTTTTTGCTGGCCAATTGGGACTAAGTATATTTCAGATTTGTCTGCCCCAGCTGTTTTGGAAACATGAGCCTCAGATCTCAGCTTCCTAAGTAGCTAGGAAGCCACAGGTGAAAGAATCAATGAAAGGATGGGTCATATCCATCCCAGGGGACCAGGCAGAGGCAGTGAGGCACAGGAGAAAGATTATTACAAGGTTAATTAGAAGAGCCTTATTTCCCCCAGAGAGAGAGAGCACATAATGTCTAATATCTTTTCAGATATTAGATAATATTAAACTGCTGCTGATTGCTTATTTTAATTCAAATACTAGTCAATGAAATAACCCATCTCTTGGCACATAAACCGAGTACTCAATAAATGTTATTACTGTTATTATTACATGTTTTCTTTCTGTTCTCTCAAATTCAGTGATTTTTGCCCTTAAAAATAAAGCTTTAAGTGCTTTCTAAAAACATTGCATAACATTTTGTTAAATAAAACTAGCATCACATAGATTAGTGTATCTATGCCACTTAAAATTGCACATTTATAACTTCCTGGTTTTTTTTTAACGAGAAATTAAAACTAGAGGTATGGCTCAATAGTAGAATCCCTTGCTTAATCTGTGGCCCTGAATTCAAGCCCCAGTGCCACTCACCCCACACTCTGTGAACCTCTCACCCAAAAAGAAAAAAAGAAAACATAAAATTGTGTAAGATAATTGAAAGAGAAATACTTATATAAATTTAGTTTTTTTTTTTTTTTTTTTTTGTCGGTCGTGGGGCTTGAACTCTGGGCCTGGGCGCTGTCCCTCAGCTCTTCAGCTCAAGGCTAGCGCTCTACCACTTGAGCTACAGCGCCACTTCCGGTTTTCTGGTGGTTTATTCGAGATAGGAGTCTCACGGTCTCTCCTGCCTGGGCTGGCTTTGAACCGCGATCCTAAGATCTCAGCCTCCTGAGTAGCTAGGATTACAGGCGTGAGCCACCAGCGCCCGGCCTTGTATAAATTTAGATGATGATGGTGATGATGATGATGTAGTTGTACAATTCTATAAATCATGCTTTTAGTACAATGCTTCTTGGTTAATGTCATCTCTTCCTTCATTCCTCCCCATTTTCCACTTCCCATCCCCTACCCTCAAGTTACATAGCTCATTTTTTTACACAATGTATATTGAATATAATGACTACATTTGTTTACCCTTCCTCCCTCGGTTCCTGTGCCCCTTCTAAACCTTTTTTTTAAAAGCCGTTTTCATTATGGGTTGACTGAAATTTAAATAGCAAAAGGTAAAGAAAATTATAAAACAGAAACTTGGAGCCAAAAGAGGGCCTCAAAGATACTTCCACTGGAGTTTCTTTCTTTCTTTCTTTCCTTTTAAATCCATGTGTTCCTGGCACCCAGATGTCATCAATACTTTGATCTTTGGGTTACAATTTGAAATAATCGAACAAAATCACGAATGCCCTCGTTGTAGGGCTTGCTCCCAAGACCATTTTCCTAGACTTCTACTTTGGTACACATTTGCAAAGTACTGGTGTATTTCTGCCAGTCACAAAGCATGAGGACATGAGCTTGCATGGGTTTTTAACACTTTGAGCACCTGAGCATTGTCACACTTGGGGTGTGTGTGTGTGGACTTACACTTTTCCCCACATCTCTGGGAGGTGTGAATCAGTCTGCTGGGACAGAACTTGAATGTGGAGTGGGGGTAATTTGAGACCCAGTTCCCCAGGGTAGAAGCTTTGGAGACCCCTGGAAACGCAGGGGGCGGGGCTAGCAAGCCAACGCACAGCCGCCCGCAGCTGATTGGAAGGAACGAAGTAGGCGGAGCCTTTCCGCCCCTCCCCGTAGCTGCTGTTGCTAGGGACGCCTAAGCCCAGGCAAAAACAATGGCTCAGGACGATGCGATGACAGCCGTGGACAACATCGTCACGCAGTTCAACACCTATGAAGATTTCCTGGACTCGCAGATCACAACCGTGGACTTGTACTACCTGGAGGTGAGGCGGGGCTCGGCGGGGGCTCGGCGGGGGCGGCGGCGCCGGTGCGCAGCGTGCGCCCCCTGGCGGCGGGCGGCGCCATGGCCGGTCTCGGCTTCGGCCGAGCGGCCCCCCCCATCCCCGAAGGGGTGGAGAGTCGGGTCCGGCCCGGCCTGCGGAGCCCCGGCCCCAACAAAACCCTGTCTCCCCAGTCACAGCGCAGACCCCGGCGCGTTCTCGCTGCGGAGAGCCTGGAGTTGGTGCGCTTTGGCCTCCTCGGCCGCTCGCTTGTACCCATCAGCCCTGCTGATCTGGGGCAGGAGGAGGGGGAGGGGACCGGGGGAGGGGGAGGGGACAGGGGGAGGGGAAGGGAGCGCTGTAATTCAGGGTGGAAAAGTAACTCAGAGAAACTGTTTTCCTCTCGGGTGCAAATTCTACTCAAGGAACAGAACACAGGTGTGATCTTGGCCAGTTGGACCCATGAGCAACCACCCCACTCTAATGGATTCCCAAAGTGCCTAAGTAAATCTCTGTCCACGTTACAAGTGTGGGCATAGGGTTATCAAGTTGATAACTGTAAGGAGGAAGAGGAGGAGGAGGGGGAGGGGAGGGGGAGGGGAGGGAGGGGGAGGGGGAGGGGGAGGGAGAGGGGAGAGGGGGGAGGGGGAGGGGGAGGGGGGAGGAGGGAGGATCGTCCTCCACCTCCACTGTGCTCTGAGAACTGGCATTTGCATTGCTCCCATTCATTCATTAACAAGACCCTCAATCATCATAGAATATGATCATTGTTAAGAAACATCTCTGTTAACAGATCTTTAAGAATAGTGTTTCAGAAAGAATTATCTATTTGGTTTAATTGGCCCTCTGTTTAATTACAATTTGATAGAATTAGTCTTTTGTGCCAATCTGCCACATTTCTATTTACTCTGTATATTAGTGAACTGACTGTGGAACTCCAAAGTTTGGATGATAATGCAGTTTCATTGGAATATAGACGACAGGTTTGAAAAGCATTTATCTTTCAAAAGCACATTCATGATTTTAAGAGAAAGGCTCTGATTTCAGCCTCCCATGTAACTAGCATTGCAGGGGTGAGCCCCTGCACCTGGCTAACATGTCTTGAAATATATATGTTACTATACTAAATAGCATATATTATATACCATATATTATGTACTATTTATTATCTATGACATATATATACAGTCTGTATATTGTACAGCTAATATATATCTTTTATATACTGTAGATATACATACAGACTACCTAAATAGAGCTAATTAATATCTGTTGCCTTACATAATTACAATTTTATGGTAAAAATACTTAGTCTATTTTTTTAAACTTTTTTTTTTCTCTTCACAGTACTGATTGGGGCTTGATCAGGGTCTTGTGCTTACTAGCTAAGCTTTCTACCACTTGAACCATGACTCCAGCCCTTTTTGCTTCAGTTAGTTTTTAGATAAATTATCATATCCTTGCCCAGGGTAGCCTTGGAATTAGAGACATACAACACTGTCCTGGCCCCTTCCTAGCATTTTGAAGTGCATGATCTACTGTGACTATAGCTAGTTAATATAGATTAGCTATAGTCACAATAGCATTCACACTGTGAAGTTACCTAAACACCAAATTAAGTCTAAATAAGTAAACAGAAGGAAATTGTTAATAAAGATAAGAGCTAAAATCAATGAAATAGAAAAATTGAAAATTAGAGAGGACCAATGACATAGAAATTATCCCATCAAGTATCAAGATCAGCAAACTTCTAAGGGCTAATTGCTGTCATCCCATTTATTCTTTCCAAAATGATCGGCAGCTTCTAATCAATTGCTACCCACTATGAGGTATAAAGATTTGGCCACCAGCTCTGCGGTCCCTCCAAACATCAAAACTGCCAAGAACTTGTGAACAATCTCACTGCATACTTCTGCTATTTTTACATTTTTAGGAAAGTACAAAAATATACACATACATATATACCAAAATCTGTTTCTAGGAGAACTTCCCCCACAAATATTGTTTTAATATGACAAAATCAATACAAGATAGTACTGGAATACCATCTTGTTTTCTAGCATTTAACTTTGACCTTCCCTCCTTGAGTGAAATTAGAGAGATAGAGCCATATTATTTTTGAAATAGTTCAGTGAGTGCAATAAATAAAGTGAAAGATAAATCCAGATGCAGATGTTTATTTGGAAATTGATTATGCTAAAAGAATTTAACAATGTCCCAATTATTATTTGTGTGTGTGTGTCAGTTCTGGGGCCTGAACTCTGGGCCTGGGCACTGTCCCTCAGCTCTTCAACTCAAGGCTAGTGCTCTACCACTTGAGCCATAGCGCAATTTCCAGTTTTCTGGTGGTTTTATTGGCAATAAGAGGCTCATGGACTTTCCTGCCCAAGCTGGCTTTGAACCGTGATCCTCAGATCTCAGGCTCCTCAGTAGCTAGGATTATGGGATGAGCCACTGATGCCTGGCTTGTCCCAACTATTTTGAAAAAAAAAAAAAAAAAAAAAAAAACCACAAAACTTCTAGAAAGTAGCAGTACTTTCCTTTCTAAAATCAATACAATATATTCTCAATGCTCTGAACATGTAACATAATATAGCAAAGCTATATTATGTTATAGCAAGACAAATTACCTAGGAAAAATATTTGCCCTCCAGTTCAGCATTTTGCTAGTTATTTTGGAGGTGGAGACTCACAAAGTTTTCCTTCCTTCCTTCCTTCCTTCCTTCCTTCCTTCCTTCCTTCCTTCCTTCCTTCCTTCCTTCCTTCCTTCCTTCCCTCCCCTCCCTCTTTCTTTCGTGGCCTGGTCTGACTTCAAATCAGAATCCTTCAGGCTCAGCCCCATGAGGTATTAGCACTCAGCTCAAGATGTTCCCTCAAGTGTCAAGGAAGCCAGCCATGAGGGACTTTGTCTAGCACGATCTTACTTTTTTTCATGATCTTACTTCTACCCCTACATAAGCAAAAAGCAATCATTGAAACACGGTACACCAGATGTCAGTAATTATCTTTGAGCAAGACCATGGTAAGACTAACAGTGTTATGAGTAATCCTTTGGTCCTGTGTCTCAAAGTTTCATACTATAATGATTACATTACTGTTGTAAAGAGGGAAAGGTAGAGTGAAATTAGTAACATCCACTTACTTGTGAGTTGAGTGGCCAGCTGGTAGCTTTCTGATTGTCCTAGGTTTCATATTTCTGAATCCTAGTCCAGGAACATAGAAAGAGTATACCTCAGGACCTTGGGCTGGCTAAGCAGGCACCTTACTAGGTGAGCTGCTCCTTCACCGCATGGCTCTCTGATTTTATTTTTGGATGCAAGTCTGTCTACTTCTCAGAAAATTCCTCTGGATACTAGAAATAGGGGGCTGTCATGTGTCAGCATTGACATTATACTTTAATTGGCATTAGACTTTAAGAGAATTATTTTGGGAGTTGGGAAAAAGGTTATGTCAGATTTTGTAAGTTATTTTAATCCCTCCTCTTTCCTGACAACAGGAGCTTCCTGGAATAATTTTCCTTGACTTAGTAGTTTTTTTTCCCATACAAATTTGCTTTATTTATGTATTTTTATTGTTATTGTAAAGGTAATGTGCAGCGGGGTTATAGTTCATAAGGAAATGTTAATACTTAGAAAAAATATTAAGCAAAATAAGCCAGACCCAAAGAAACATAGTTTGTATGGTTTCCCTCGGTTGTTGTAACTAGAATGTGCCTATTAATCTACAAGTAAACACACTCGATGGAAAAAGACAAAAAAATACATGCTAAATTTTACAGGGCTCTAGACATTCACACTCTTCAGAGAGGACCACAAAGGCTCAGTAGCTATGTACACATGATCATATAAAATGTTTTATTTACTCATTTATTGTATTATCTTTAAGTTCTACCATGGATTTGCCATCAAACAATGTCGTTTATCAATACAATGCCTCTCCATCAATGTTACCCCTTTCAACCTTCTCACCCCATCCCTCTCCATCCACCCCGTCCCTTACTATTCTTAATTTTGCAAGATATACATTGGATTTTTGATAACATTCCCCCCATTCTTCTACTTTGCCCCTGACTCTATTTTCCAATTAACGTTGCCTTATTTTAACACTTACTTTTTGATCTTCAATCCTGACCTTTACCTTCCTAAGAAATTTTATACATTCAATAGAAATTAAAACTGATTGTATGTATATACAGATACAAATACATATATGATTTAATATAGGTGTGCTATATATGTGACTAGCATGTCGCAGATATGAGAGAAATACATTAACAAAGTGTAGAGATGACGAGTGATTCCTCCAGCTACAAAGGCTGACGTTTTGTTTATTTAATCAAATGATTTTGACTACTTGATGCAGTCCATAGTATTCTGCTGATTGCAGAATAATCCAAATGGTTTTGTCTAACCCAGATAAGGCACCAAGGAGTACAAAATTCACTGAGTATGCAAAATAAACATAGCAACTTCTTAATGATCATATTATAGTAAAAAAAACTGTATTGACCATAAGAAGTTTTTAGTCTTACTGAAGAGTACTAAAGTCTTTCAGAGCTGAATCATTTCCATAACTTTAATTTTAGTAGTATATTTAAGAAAATGCATACACAAATTAGCTCACTGGTTAAACAACTCCCAGGTCTATGTTGCTGTTCCTATTAAAGAATAATTCCACTAGGTGGAGACATTTGCTCAGTTTTGTGATCAACCTAAATAAAGTGTATAGCAATAGAGAATCTAATAAACAGAGTGCTTCAAACACAAGACCCATAGCTTTGGGCCTCCCAGCCTTGTAACTTTGTGTGTGTGTGTGTGTGTGTGTGTGTGTGTGTGTGCATGATCTGTATGTAAATATCTTAGTTTGGTTACTAAGCCACTATTATAAAGTTAACATATCAAAACCACTCCCCCTTTCCCTCCCAGTTTACCATAATTAAATATTTTATGTAGGTCTGTTGAAGTCCATATCTGGGAATGTCTTTCAAAACTCGAGGCAGTTTCTAGGTAGTCATGATTGAATTTCAGTGTTTTTTGGATTAATGTTGTTGTTGCTGCTGCTGCTGCTGTTGTTGTTGTTGTTGTTGTTCTTCTTCTTCTTCTTCTTCCTCCTCCTCCTCCTCCTCCTCCTTCTCCTCCTCCTCCTCCTCCTCCTCCTCCTCCTCCTCCTCCTCCTCCTCCTCCTCCTCCTGCTGCTGCTGCTGCTGCTGCTGCTGCTGCTGCTGCTTCTCCTCCTTCTCCTTCTCCTCCTCCTTCTCCTTAGTAGTAATAGTAGTTGTACAAGATTGCTTTATTTGACATGTCCATTTTGTATACAGCTCATTTTGACATAACCATCCTCTCTGTTATGCCCTTCCTTCCTTCTTCCTGTTCCCAAACCAGTCTTGACTAGTTTCCCTCTTTCATTTCTATGCATGTACATAGATTATTATGATTATATTCACCCTTTTTCTTCATCTCTGTTTGTTCAGTCCACTCCCACTAGTACCTAGTGTTCAGAAAGTTTTGCTATGGCATCTCATACTTTCAAATACCATATTTTAATCTCATTGACTATATGTATGTGTATATATATGTGCATATGTAGATCATACACACATACACACACACATATATATATACACTCACATATGATCCGGTACATGGTTAAACATATGTTTATGTTTTAAGGCTAAAATCTACAAATGATAGACAACATGTCACCTTTGTCCTTGGGAACCTGGCTTACTTTACTTAAAATGATATATTTCATATCCATACATTTCCTGGCAAATGACATAATTTCATTCTTTTTTATGCCACGGCCTGTAACTTTACATTGTAATAAGTTTGCAAATATATGTGTTTAATCCATGTAAATACAATGGAGTTCTGTATTTTTTTTATCCATTGAAAAAGAAAGTAATAGGTTTAGTATCTAAATTAATTGGTTTTGCTTGAATACTTTTATTTTAGGAGTCACTGTGCATCGAAAGATTATTAATCATCTTAAATTCCCTGATTTGTTAGACAGTTCCTTCATTCAATACTCATGTACTAATTAATGATCTATAGTAAAAAGGTATATGCTGTTCTTATTGTATTTTAATTAAGATGGCAATGACTGGAAAAACTGGGAGAAAATGAGGGAGGGGGTGGCACTCTTCCAAGAGAAATGTACTTATTACCTGACTTATGTAGTTGTGACCTTTCTGTCCATTACCTTTACAATAAAATAAAAAAAAAACTTTAATATGATTCTGTATTTTAGCAGTCAATTTCAATTGACAACTGAAATATAAAAGATCTAAACTTCTGGGAGGATTTGTCAATTTGAAGCTTGTTGTGATTATCTTCTTGGGAGTCTACTTTTTTTTTTTTTTATATCTACCAGCATTGTATTGAAACAAATCTTTCCAATTAAGTGAGCAATTCATCTGTTCCACTTTAATTATATTTGAAGTTAAAATGTTGTGTGTCATCAGTTACTTAACTTCAAGGAACCAAGTGGGAAGCATTGAACTTTCTGAAAACAGCTGAATTCTCTTTTGGTGCATTTGATTTTTTCAAAGTGTTTCTTCTATGAATACTATTGTTTCTAACTTTATTGTTTTAAAGATACACTATTAATTGTCTATTGCTGGTCTCAGAAATTTATTAAAAACACAGTAGACTTTTGTCTTTCAATCCCTCAGAGAAACTAGTGGTTGATGCTGTTTCTCCTTTCATTTTGTATCTGTGGTACACAGAAAGACATGTCTAAATTTATGGTGGAAGAGCTGGTTTTTAATATCTATTAACTAGTCTCCCTTTAAAACAATACATTCAATTTGTCAGCTTACACAATTGCTTAGTATACATTGGGGGGAAAATACCCTCACTTACCCACAAATATACAAATTTATTTTCTCCACAGGATGAAGGCCTGGCTCGCCAGTTGGTGGAGCTAGGCTACCGAGGGACTGGAGAGATTGTGAAAAGGGAAGATTTTGAAGCAAGGAAGGCAGCTATAGAAATTGCAAGGCTAGCTGAAAGAAATCAGAAAAAGTAAGTGTCCATATTCCAAGTCCAGATTTTGTTATGTTCTAGGATCTATCAAAAAGTCCATTTTTCATTTTGCAATAATTTAGAAGCATTGGCTGGAGCAGGTTAAAACTTGGAACACCTAGAGCATGTGCTCTACAGATCAGGAACTGGAAGAGCTATAATATACTTGCAGTAAAGTCACATGCAGCTTAGAGCTGCTAATTCAAGAAATACAAATACCAAAATATGATCATCATACCAATAAAGTGCTGTTAAAAAGTAACTCACTATTATTGCTTTTTATTCATTTGTACACCGAAAATATGAGTGACACTTGCCTTAGAAATCTTTGTACTTTGGAGGCCTGTAAACTTTAGTATCATTTATGTTCTCAGATTTATTAAACATTGATTCAGTCAACTACATTAACAATCACTAGCTTTTGTTAATGTGACTAATAGGAGTTTATATATAATATATGCAATAAAATATGTTAAAATTTATCATGAGAAGTATTCCTGAAGTGTATCAAACTGGTATGACTATTTCAAAGGGGTCATATGTTAAATCATTAATTTGTAAATGTTGGTAGGATGATAACTTTGAATTGCTATATTATTTTATTTTTATTTAGCTTTCGTAAAATTCTAGAAGTGTATGTGTGTGTCCTGGGGCTTGAACTTAGGGCCTGGCACTATCTTTAGGTTTATCCTCAAAATTGGAGCTTTACTACTGTACAACACCTCCATTTCTGACTTTTTTATTGTGGGTGTGGTAAGTTGGAGTTAAAGGTCTCGTAGATTTTACTTTTTGGGCTGGCTTCAAACTATGATCCTCAGATCTTAGCCTCCTGAGTAGCTAAAATACTTAAAATATTTAAAATGTTGAAAACATTAACTATTTAAAATATAGTTTAAATATTAAATTCTTAAAAAACATTCTATAATTATAATTAGATATTTGCAATGTATTCATTAGAAAAATAATGAGAGATGGATGTGTATGTAGACATTCTAATGGTTATTATTTTAAATTGTTACTGTAAAATGTGGTGCAGAGGAGTTACAGTTATATAAGTCAGGTAATGAGTACATTTCTTTCTGTACAATGTCACTCCTTCCCTTGATCTCTCCCAGTTTTTCCTTCCTTTTCCCATTCACAAGTCATATAGTTCACTTTCAACATAGTGTCTAACGAGTACCACTACTGCATTTGCCTCTCCATTTCTGTGCCCATCTTGCCCTCCCAAAGACAGATAAAGGAACAAGCAAGACAAAAAGAAAACAAAAACAACAAAGAAAAAATATATTGTTTCTATTTCCTGGAGTTCATTTCAATAAATACTACTTTATACGCTCAGAAGCACATGAGCATTGACACTTTTTTTTTTTATAGCTTAAGAACTGTAGAATATTAGAATTTAATTTTTTGGGGAAACATTATAATTCGCCATTGCGGCCATAATAAATTATAGTTGAAACAGTTTCATACAGCATATCGCATCCGAGTCCTGTGACAGAACTGAAGTCTGCTGTTGGTTGAACTGGGCTGGAGGCTCTGAAGATTCCAGATTTCAGGATTGAAGTCCCCATGTCCTTATTGGTTGTCATTTGAAGGCTATGTTTTGCTCCTAGAGATGATTTTCATTTTCATGCTTTCTATGGTCCCTTCCTTTATTTTTTTTATTGTGAACATACTGTACAGAGGGGTTACAATTACATGGGCAAGATAATGAGTACATTTCTTATCAAGCATTGTAGCCTCCTCCTTTGTTTCCCCTTCCCATCCCTTCCCATCCTCCCCTGGCTCCCCCACCCAATCTTCCCTGCTTCCCCGGGTCCCTTCCTTTAAACAAGAGGGAGTCAGAAACCTCTCACCCCTCTCTTTCTCTTCTCCACTGACAGCATTTCTCCTAATCTGGGCAGAGAAAGATCTCTCCTTTAACGAGGCGGGCAACCCTTCTAGATATTCTGAATGAACTCTGTATTTTAACATATTCTGCTTTCATTACACCTTCAAAGTTCCAATTTGTATGAAAAGTAACATATCTATAGGCACCTGGAAAGACATCCTTAAGGGGCATTCTACCCACTACCGGTAATTTACCTGAAACTTCAAGAATTCATTGTGCACGCGTGCTCACTTTTAGTTTTCATAATTGAAAGGACACCAGCTGTGTGTGTGCAATCCTCTATGTGAGAATCAGTGTCCCCGTGTAGGGAGTCAGGAGCGGAAGTGGAAAGAACTCGGTGAGACTTTTGCAAGGAATTTATGTTTACTCACATGTAACTTTATAAGACATATAAACTCTTTCCTATCAAGAGGAGTTGGCCTCATTTAAAGTACAAGTTCCATCTGGGTCACGTGTCCCTTTTGTGTTAAAGGATCAAAGTGGGTATTTCCTCTGCCATGGCTTTTTTAACTAGTCAGAGCTGGAAGTCATCAGGCTACTTCAGTGCCTGTGTTGGGAGGCTGATCCTCAGTTTCTAGGATCGGAAGGCCTTTCATCTGCAGAGCTTCTCTGGTTGCCTTTGTGTTGGGATGTGTCCCATATGTTGCTTCTTGTCCCATGTGGGAGCCACTTTGCTGTCTTCCCTGCTAGCCCATTTTTAGAGCTGTTGACAGCAGGGCCAGCAGAGGGTGTCCGAGAGCCAAGAATATTTGCCCAGAACAATAGGGAACTGTGCTGGGGCATCTGGTCGTCTACTAACTGACACTGACTCAGAAACATTTGATCTGATCTAAGGGACACCCCACAGTAACTTCTCTAGTTCTGCAGATCACGACTTAGGTCACAACTCTCTGGTGGAGCAATTTTTAGAGCACCCATTTGAAGAGGTGCTAGTATCTAAAGATGTATTACTTACAATAACTTCATAGGAAAATTAAAGACACCAGAAAGAAATATTTTGATGAGGAGAGGTGCTATAAAATGTAAGGTAGGAAAACCTATTTGGGACTGCTATTAAATCATGTACAAATATTTCTAGATAACTATAATGTGTTAAGTATTATGCTATATTCTGGGAATACAATAGAATGCAAGATCTAGTTTCTGCTCTGAAAGTTTTAGGGCTAGAGAAATTAAAGAAATTATATTGTCAGTTCAAAAAGTTAAATATATTGTGACTATATATGGCCCAACATTTCTGAGTATGGGAAATGAAAACAGGTCCACTTACGTACTTAGCCATGGATGCTCATTACAACATTATTCATTGGCTTGTAGCAAAAAGCAGGAACAACCCAAAGCCATAATGGACAAAAATGTGCTATATAACTTTAATAGAAGCTAGTGGCTGATGGTTCATCCCAGTAACCCTAGTCCCTTAGGAGCCTGAGATCTAAGGATCATGGTTCAAGGCCAGCCCAGGTAGGAAAGTCCATAGGACTCTTCAATTAACCACTCAAAAGCCAGAAGTAAAACTGTGACTAAAGTAGTAGAGCAGCAGCCTTAAGTGAAAGAACTAAGGGACAGCAACTTGGCCCTGAATTCAAGTTCTGTTACCAGTACCAAAAAAAATAGCATAATGGAATATCATATAGTCATAAAAAATAGAAAGTACTGTTTCATGTTACAATATAGATACATCATAAAAATGTAAAACTAAATGAAAAGAGTATCTAGACAAAAATATATTTATTTAAATCTCTGGAATTGGTAAATACATGGGGTAGCTTCATCCTTGCCAAGGCTTGAAATGAGTGAGGACTGGCAAATGATGGCTAACAGATAGGAAGTTTCTCTTGGAGGATGATAAAATGTGTAATTATAAACTCTCAAGGATTATTGTACATATAGTGAGATATATTTTTTAAAAACTACACAACTGTTTTTACTAAAATTGTTCTCCATAGTATCTGATTTTTATCTCAAAAGAAAAAATGATTACGACAGAGGATGATTAATGAAACTGCAGGAACTGTGGTATCACCCTGAAGACATTGTAAGTGAAGATTTGGGGGAAGGACGTGAAGAATAGGGAAAAGTCTTCTTCAGACATAACAGCTAAGTTATCTTGTAAAGAATGAGTAAGAATTCATCAGGCAAAGAGAGGTGTAAAAGTGAGAACATCTAGTCAGCCTTGATTCTGATAACTCTGCTGCATCACAAATCTTTTTCTCCATTTCTGTTTTAATTTATGTCTTTATTTTCCTAAGACATTTTTTCCCCCAAAAAACTATCCCAGCTGAGAGGCCACCCATTCCCACACTGACTAGGCTGTACTTGGTGGGGTGGGGTGGGAGGAGGGAGTGAGCGAGAACAGGTTCTGTATTAGCCCTCAACCTTTTCTTTCAAATCTATCATGAAAAAATCATGTTTAAAAAAAATCTCTCATTTCTGATTGTAAGAGTTACAGATAGAAACTATCAAGGTTGGACAAGAAGGATGAAAATAGTTTAGTCTTTGTAAGGACTGAGTAGTTTTTTCTTGCAGAAGCTGATTACATTTTTTTCTTTTTTCTTTTGGTCAATCATGGGACTTGAACTCTGGGGCTGGGTGTTATCCCTCAGCTCTTCAGCTCAAGGCTACCACTCTACTACTTGAGCCACAGCACCTCTTCTGGTTTCCTAGTGGTTTATTGGAGATAAGAATCTCACAGACTTTCCTGCCCAGGCTGGCTTTGAACCATGATCCTCAGACCTAGTCTCCTAAGTAGCTAGGGTTACAGGTGTGAGTCACCAGTGCCCAGCTCTGATTACATTTTTAAGTGAGGAAGTTCCTTGCATATAGGCTCCTTTCCATTTTTAGTGAGAAATTGAACTGATTTCTATAGGTAGAACAGAGATGGATCTTGGGTGTTTGCTTCACAAGCTGAGTACTGGGCTCTTGTGGTCCAGTTTATAATTATAGCTGAATCATCCCTCTGGGTGGACAGTTTCTAAGATGAACTTGGAATATCAGTAGCCTTTTCACATTGGGTCAGTTTATTTAGTTGGATGTGAATGAACTCCTCTTGAAACTGGTTCTAACCTTACTTACTACAGTATAAGTTCTGTAACATTGTTGGCAGGAATAC